AAAAAAAACCACCCCAACCCCGTAATATTCAGCATTGCCGGGCAGCAGAAGTACGGGGAGCTGCTGTTGAGTAGCTCCTGGGTCCTGCTGCTTTTGTTTTTTACGGCGGGACGGTCACGGAGCTGGAGAGAGGCCAGCGCCGGTTCGCTGAACTTTGGCACGGGAGTTTAAAACCCATCCCCAAATCCTCACCCGATAGCTTTCTCTCGGCTCTCTCAAGTCCCAGCCAAATCCTGACTTTGGGCTCATCGAAAGAATAAGAAAATAAACCACATTGTGGGAACAGAGCCATCGCCGTGACCTTCAATCCAAGAACATTGCGAAATACTACTCAGTGGCTTGTTTTGAAATACTTGGTATATTCTTACACCGGGTGCGTAACAAAACACAGTTTGATGCTGTCTAGTGCTCAGTCTGTGGCAGTGTCTTTAAACATGTTTTACACAAGTTATTTACTGACTGCTTGAAGGACTACTAAAACTCTGGTATCAAGGCCAAAGTGATGCAAATTCAGTAGGGACCATGGGCCAAAATATAGGTTTGCCTAATTCATGGAGCTTCATTGATGTCTGCAGGGTGGCAGAAGCCTGTTAGGTCCTTATTGCTGCTGCCTGGCCCAGTCCTCCGTGGAGGAAATTGCCATCTTGGCAACTAAGTGCCAGGAGAGCTGAGAGCCACGTGCCGGCTGAAAGTCCATCGGTGTGATTTTGGTGGCACTTGTTGAGCCAGGCTGAAGTACAACGGGTGACTTTGGCGGGAGAGAAAGCGCTGTTCAGCCTCACAGCGGGCTGCCCATGCAATTTGTGTTTCAGAATGGATGAGAACTACATCCTCCTGCCGCATGGAGTCAACTTCCAAGAGGCAATTTTCCCAGACACCCAGGAGAACAGAAGGATGTTTGCCAGCCTTTTCCAGTTTTCTAACTGCTCTCAGGCGCAGCACGTGTTGAGCTTCTCCAGTGACTGGGAGATTCAAGAGGACAACCGGGTAAGGGGTTTATTTGCTCTCTGGCGCTTGTTTTCTGAGTGGGCACAGGCATTCCCATGTTGTTTGCGAACATATATATATATGAATGCAGATCAGCCAGTCCCTGATTTTCCTGGTCCTTTGGCAGCATTATTGGCAAAGGAAGACACCGATGGGGAGATTTTAGACTCTGTTTTCAAAGCTGACCTCTGTGTTAGCTCTTCAACTTACCTGAGCAAAGCTCAGTATCAACCTGTTCAGGAGCAATAGGTTGGAAACCAGTATTGCTTGCGATCCTGTCCTGCTCCGACCAGATTGTTCCTGGTTTTACTGTCTGCAGACCCCATACTTGATCTTCAGCTGAAATGTTTAGGAGCGGAGCTTTGCTTTTGTACTTCTGTGTTCATCTCATGTAGCGAGAGCGGTGCCTGGACCACGACAGACTGTAAGGGATTATTCTTGCCTAACTCCACACAACAGCATAAACATCTACTTCTGAACTAATCACCCTAAGCTGTCTTTGTAGCAGCTGGGGAAAAATAGGGTCTTGAGGGCACAGTTTGTCTGAGTGATGAGGGCATGGTTCGTCTGGGCGACGCTGGCACCTACTTCTGAACAAGATGAATGAAATGCCTCTTTCTCCTCTCAAGGGAGGCCACAGCATGTAGTTCACCCTCTAGGCAATCCTCCCTTAAGAACCTACATTATTAGTATGGAAAGTCCAACGATGCCTGTTGTTAGTGGCTTCTGAGCCCTTTTATGGGGCTGTAGTGTGTGTAATAAATGCAGGATTTAACTAAATACTTCCTTGGCAGCGAGGAGCAACCTGCAGTTATGTGCGTGCATGTTCTGGATGTGCACATACATTTGCAAAAGCGAAACTTGGAGAACTGTTTTAGTGCCAAACCTTGTTTTATGAGGCTAGTGGTTTCCACTGGTAGCTGAGAACGTTTTAAGTGTTTCTGGGTCAGGATGGACAGGACATGTGTCATCGCTTGTGTCTTCTGTGGATTCAAGGCACAATATTTGTGTACGGCAGCAGATGCACTAGTGGCTTCTTTGGGAGATGGATGGAGGGAGCTCGATAGCTGGGTTAGCCCTTTCCCTTCACCAGCTGGCCAGCCGCCAGCGTACAAAGTTTGAGCTGCTGTGTGGCCGTCTGGCCAGTGACACAAACCCCCCCCCCCCCCTTTCCTTGGGATGCCCTGTGGGCGAGCGTTTTTCCACTGCTGATATTTTGGGGAGGGAGTGGGAAACAGTGACGTTCAAATATATATTTGAGGATAGCAGCAGGGATTGATACTTTAAAGAAAATCAATTATCTTACAATTAGATTGCAGAGCTGTAACCCTCGCTGGGTGAGAAGGTGTAGAGCCCTGCTCTCCTCCCCACCAGCCTGCAGACTCCCCAGCACCCCAAGCAACATATTTGGCAAGTAAAGGCACTGCTGCTGCCAAATACACCGATTTTGCTCCAGGGGAGCAAAGTGGCATTGGGGGACCACCAGATCCAACTCCCAGTGTCTGCTTGTGATGCCTCTGCACTGTTTATTTAGCCGCGCTGAGCTAAATGTAGGGGATCTCAGTGGGTTGATGCTGGTTTACGCCAGTGGTGAATCTCGCTGGTTAGCTTTACTGGAAATCACAAGGCAGAAACACCCAGGTTAAGTTGGGGCAACCAAAAGTGTGTGTATCAAAAGTGCACGTCAGCTGTTGCGCTCTTTGACCCCCTGCAGCTGTGAGCAGATTAGGGGAGGATTAGAGCTGCTGGTTGCACCGACCAGGGCTGGGGGCTTTACATACTTCAACACCCACCCGTTGAGTGAATTAATTCAGCACGACTGATGGACACTTTGTCTCCCCGTCGTAATGAAAAGTAAAAGCTTCCTCTGCACCGGTTAAAAATAGTTGGGGCTGACTGTGCTCCCATTCAGCTCTTACATCTGTGTTTGCCCAGCCCCGTGCCGGCTCCCGGCGCCTGCGTGCCCCAGCCTGGGCAGGAGATGGTGTTTCTGGCTGCCATGGTATTAGGAATTTGTTCCCCAGCTCTTCCCAGTACAGATGGACATGTCCAGGGTGCAGCTCTTGTTAGCATTTTGCTCCTCTCTTTGCCTTGTCACGTCCAGTGGGGACTTCTCCAGTTGCCACCGTGTCTGCTTGCATCCCATCACAGTGCAAGCAATTTCCATTTCCAAATACGCTTGGCTGAGTGGTCCCGTGCTGGCTCCTGAGCCGAAAACTGTGGCGTGTGCCGGCTTCGTGGCACAGAAAATGGGCATTGCTCGGACCGTTACTCTTGAAGCTTTTTGGGAAAGAGGTTCTTAGGGAGCCTGGGGACATCCGCAATGGTGTCAAGCTGTAAAGAATCTAGACAGAGATAAAAAGGGTCTTCTGATGAGGCTCACACTGCTGTGAGGAGTCAGAGGTCTCACTAGCTCCTATGTACTGACATAAATTGTGAGTTAAAATCCATCATGGATGTTTTGTGCAGTCGGAGGGAAGAGATAGAGATGTTGAGATCCTCAGAGCAGAAGGCAGCTGGGGAGAAGGTCTGGTGCCAGAAGCTAGTAGCTAAGGTTCTGCCTCCAGGTCTTGGGACAGCTGCGTGCAGGGACAACTTGAAAAGCGGCTCTGTCAAAAAACAGTGTGCCTAAGTAGGTTTGGAATAAAGGAGTGATGAAATCTGTTGTTTACAGCTGGATCCCGTATTCCAAAAGACTTTTTGAATCCCTGTATTTGCTCATGGCCCTGTGCCCTACTCTATCTGTTTCTGGGGTGGACATTTTAAGGGAGGATTCGGTGCTGGAACCATATGCAGTTGCGATGAATAATTTGTGTTTGTAGCTCTGGGGTGCTCAGCCAGAAGCTGAGAAAGCCCCGTGATGGGTGAATGTCTCTTACCTCATGTAATGCCGCTCCCAGTGAGAGGTCCCTTCTGCAGGGTGTGCCTGATCTGGCCGCGGAGCAGGGAACTCGAAGGTGACCGCTGACATGCTGTCCTCCTGCTCGCCCTCTTCTCTCTGCGGTGCTCCTTGCCTGCAGGCAGCCTCGTCTGGGATGTCCCAACCAGTGAAACGAGGAAAACCCCAACAGCTCCTTCTCTTCCTCCCAGCGAATGTGTCTGATGATGCAAAAGAGAGCAAAGGGATGTGCAGGAACTTCCCCATGCACTGGGACGCACAACCTGCCTTTTCCATCACAGGAAAACCCTTTTAATTTTCGGAAAGCCCTGTGGTGCACGGTGAAAGGAGGCCAGACCCAAGGCACATCTCGTTGGGGGTAGTACATTTGTCATCCTGGGCCTGCTGCTGTCGCTGCAAGCTAATTCCAGCTGCATTTTTAAGCCCGTTGCAGTCTGGGCTGAGGGCCAGGCGCTGCTTTCCATAGTTTTCCAATAACCCCACAGTCTCATAAATTCACTCAGGTGCTTATTCTGACCACTCTGGAGAGCAACGGTAGCTCCGGCTGCCGTTTCTTTAGGCACTTGCATTTTGGCTTCCACATTTGCAGAGTCGGTAATTAATTGGGCTCCATCCTGACTTTTCTTACAGCCCCTTAGTGATGTTTGCAGACCTCCAGCTTTACTCCGTCTCGCCGTCGCAGCGTTTTCCACAACGCTGTTGCTAAAGCCCCCAGTTCCCACCAGGCTTGGGGCTGGAGCTGGGTTTGTGAGTGGCTGCAACTTCTTTTAGAGCAAGGGGCCCCTTCTTGCAGCACGTGGCAGGTACCTGGGTCCCAGGCTTGGCACAGTCCCAGAGCTGATGTTGGTGGAGATAATAACACAGGAACGCTCCTTTTTCCCATTTGGAGTCACAGTTTTAGTCGATTCTTCCCACCCTCTGCCCCGGGGAGAAATGCGGTATTCGCCTATCCAAGGAATCTTGAAGTCACAGCAATTTCTTTTCTTTTAATAAGGTGCTTTTATTAGAGAAAGGAACAATTAAGAAGTAATAAAAACCTAACTGAAATTCTTAAAAGCTCCATGGTTTTTCCCAGATGTCGTGTTGACCCCTGCCTGAGGGAAGACCTGCAGACATATCGAAGAGTTTGTGAAGTCCAACAGTCTCCTCTGCAGGCAGATCACCCCTGCCTCGGGAGACCACCCCGGACACCTCTTTTCCTTTACACCCTGCTTCCCCTAATCCCCCTAAAATTGCTCACAAACCGCTGGGTGCTGCCCCGTTATTCTCCAGTGCAGCCGGCCGTGCTGGTGTTTCATCACTGATGCTTTTAGGGAGCAGCCTCGCAACCTTTTCTTGCTCAAAAGTAGTCTGAGGGGCCAGACTTTCTTTTGGGAGATGAGGATGAGCATTCGGCGGTGCAGCCAGCATCCTTCTCCGGGGATGGAGAGGGGGAACGGGAAAATCCCAAAGGCCCAGAGATCATCCGTATGTGCCAATGCCTCTTTCTCATGACAAATTTTCCTTATGGCTAAGTGCTAAATGACACTTTTCTGCATGCAGGGGCTTGATTCATGTTTGCTCAAGCTGGGAGGTGGGAACCGTCACTGTGGTTTGCCCCCTCTCACAGTGCCTGCTGCTAAGCCTGGGGGTGACAAAGTGAGTTGGGATTGAAATCCTTCTCCCCTGCAGAGTTTTACCATTTTCGTGTGAATCTAGAGGCTCTAATTTCTCCTCCTGACTTGGCCTTCTGCAGGGTTCTGCGTTCTGCGAGCTCGTGGCCTTGTCTGCACACGAGGGACTCGAGGTCTGGTGATAATAAGGTCTAGAGAAGTGTCAAACAGCGTTTGTCGTTATTTATTATTCAGAGGGGTTTTAACTCCTGGTTTTGTCAACAGGTTGATAGGGAAACGTGGTCTTTTGGCCTCCGTCCCAGCTTGCTGTGAGCAGCGGAGGTGCTGACAACCTGGGGCTGTGCGGTGCTTCTTTTACAGGGCACCTTTCTCCCCTTTTTTTCATGTAGGAGAGTTGCAAAATGACCCCACGTGCACCGTAATGGGGGAATTAGCAGCAGTGTGTCAAACTGATCGTGAGCAACTGTGAGAGCACTAGCACTGTGATA